AGGGAGCCCGATGCGGGACTCGATCCTGGGACTCCAGGATCATGACCTGAGCCGAAGGCAGTCGCCCAACCAACTGAGCCACCCAGGCGCCCCGAAGCAGATTTAGTTTTAATTTGGGTTATATTTAGTTGTTTAACCAGTCAGCAGTTCACCTTGCTTTCATTCCCCCCTCTTCGTTGGCAATGCGTTACTACACACGAAAGGAGCTAGGGACTAGAAGGAAGAAAGAAATCTATGGAAGTGTGTGCGATGCTTTTTTCTTAGAGTTACCACTTGGGAGCATTTATTTTCCTGGCACTAGGCAGGGTGCCACAGAGTGGACTGTGACTTTGAAAGTTCATGGCTCACTGGAGAAGAGAAACGACAGGCACGGTGGCTTGGGAACAGCTCAGGCCTAGGCTGATCTGACCAGAAGGAGCCAGGAGCTCAGCCAAGTGAGAAGGACACCGACGGGGCTCACCAGAGAAAGGGGGCCTCAAAGAGCAATAACGGTTACAGGGTGGGGGCGGGGGGGTGGGGGGGGAGGCAGTTCCAAAGAGGGGCGCCACGGAAGCCAGGGCACCCAACAGGTCAGCGCACAGCTGATGAGAGCCCTGCGATTGTAGCGATCATCAGTCATAAAGAATGAGACTGAGCAAGAGAGCCCGGGACCCATGCCTGGTGCCTTGGTGAGGGCATTGCTGAGCCAGGGTCAAGCCGTGCCCTCCTCATCTGTAGAAGGGAGATGGGCAGAGGACTGGCCTTGCGGTGGGCTCTCGGTGTGGGAATGTTAGACCTGGTGCGTGTGAAGCAGTTGCTGCCGGGACCCGCATGCGGTCGCTGCTCAGTCAGTGGCCTGTGATCCCATGGGATCGGGAATTGGTGCAAGTTGTTTTAATAAGGTCTGAAGTCTGCTCTCTAGGGTTTGCAGGACAGGTTGGAAGGGGTCGAGAGCTGGCCGCGAGAGCAGCCACTAGATAGGAGGCCCTTATGTCCAGGTGAGACCTGACGAGAGACGGAATTGAGAGAGACACGACCCTCAGTAGGACTTGGACACCAGTGTTGTGCATGGGGACAATGAATAGGAGTGTTTCCAAGTGGATGTCAAGATTTCCTTCCTTTCCACACTTACTGTCTTTCTTCTTTTCTACGTATTTCATTCCCCGAGACTGGCGACCCTGTCTGTTTCTTACCTTGCTGACGAGGAGTTTAATTCCCAGCAACACCGTGTTCTCCCCATATTCTACCACAGTATAAGCCTGTGGTGTATTCCATGGGGAATATTTTAATGAGCACATATGTCTGCAGCGTTTGGTTATCCCTAAAAGCTCGCCCTTACCTCCCACACTGAAGAAGTTAGTGGACCCTTTGGTTAGAGCACCTGCCACAGCCCTGCCCAGAGCAGAGAAGGGAGTCAGAAGGAAGCCCCTCCTGTCCCACAAGCAAAGTGGGGGAGGGACATGCGGGCCCTATACATGGAACTTGCCGCCTGAGTGGCCAGGATCACTTGCAGCTCCCAGGAAGAGACTGCCTGGAAGGTGTGAGTTTGAAACAAAAGCTCCAGGCCACGAGGGACCCTGCCTGTCACAGACTTGCGAGTGGAATGGACATGATGTTCCTCAAACTAAGAACCCCTGCCTCAGGCTGCAGGCGGAGCGAGCAACAACTTACTGGGTATAGGTAGGCGGCATGTGGCAATTTTTTTTTTTTTTAAAGATTTTATTTATTTATTTATTTGAGAGAGAGAATGAGAGAGAGAGAGAG